TTAAGCTACCTTTAAATTACAGCTATACTTCCAACTTCCAAAATTTTTAATTTCAATAACTCACACAGACCACAATCTACTACTTGTGCATCACTTTTACTTTTTTTTTTTTATTTGTAGTATTAGGGTTTGGCTGACCTTATGAACAAATGTACTTGTTCATAATGTGGGCTCAAGAATCAAATAGACATGGATTTAGTTCTTAGCTCCTCTACTTCCTAAAGATCTAAATTTGGACAAATTATTTAACTTTTGAACTCTCTGTTTTCAAATGGGAAAGGAAAGTGAGGTTGTAACTCAGTAGTACATATGTACTCTCCTAACATGCATGAGGCCCTGGGTTTGATCCCAAGCATTGAACAAACAAAAATACCCCCAAAACAAAACTTAAATGTAAAAGGAGATAATAATAGCATGGTTGCATTATGAACATTCATTGAGAAAAATCTATGTCTAGTGCTTAATACGGGCCTTATAAATAATAAATACTTGAGCCAAAATAAACCTTTTGATGTCATAAAATAAAAATTAAATACTAATACATATTAGTTGTTATTTATGAGAGAAACTGAGGCAAAGTGGTGGAAACATCTTCAACATCCTCCCATTGCAACTATGAAATTATCCTTATCTGTACCCACTTCCTTATTGCTTAAAGCCACAATAGAAGGTGAGATTTGCTCCCGCTTAAGGCAGATCTGACTCCACCAAAAGCAACAAGGCAAATTCTATCTTCATTCTGGTTCCTTCCTCTCCTGTTACATGTCTCAAAGTCTTTAAACATGTTTAAGCTCATCCTATCTTGAAAGTATTCCTTCACCTTTCTGTATATCTAGGTCTCCTACTTTCACAGCCCCAAATGTTATTTTTTTTTTTGTAAGAGAAAAACAGACTATATGTCTCAATATCCTCAGAGCCACAAAAGAGTTGAGTGAAAACATCACAAGTGCAACTCTAGACTGAAGAGCACACCTATAATCTCAGTTACTCTGGAGGTTGAGGCAGATGGATTGAAAGTTCAAAGCTAACCGCAGCCACGTAGTGAGGCCCCAAGCAACTCAGCTTTTGTTTCAGCCATATTTCATATTGTAACTCATAATAGACATTGTTTGAAGATAGGAATCAAAAGAAATATTGATGTCTAAAAGCAACAAGGCAATGAGGATGTTAAATTTTAATTTAGTAAATGTCCTCAAAATCATAATTAGATTCATGCATTATATCCATCTGATCAAAATTCTTAAATAGCACATCAATGTTTCTAGCATTTCAAAATAGATTTAAACAAGAAAAATTTTGATGATAGGTATAACTAATTTTGCTTTTCACATGTTGGAAATAAGATGATACACACCTACAATGTGTTAGTTTCAGAGAAGAACCTGTAATTAACAGCTTGAACCTTTTAGTCATAGCTCATTATCCAGAAACAAAACAAAAAAAGTATTAAAAGAAACTAGTTTTTTTTAAGGCGCAACATGTAATAATTCTAAATATCAGATTATAACAGCAGTTTGAGGTCTATTTTTTGATACCAAAATATGTAGTTTCAAGGTTTTGACATCAGGAACACAGAATCTCTCTCCATTTATTTAGTCTTCCTTTGATTTCTTTTGTCACAGTTTTGTAGTTTTCCTCATGTAGGTCTTGTATATATTTTTGTTAGATTTATACCGATTTCATTTTGGAGAGGGCTAATGTTAGGTGGTATTGAGTTTTTAATTTCAGTCTCACTTGTTTATTACTGATGTATAGGAAAGCAATTGACTTTTGTATGTTAACTTTGTGTATGTGTGTGTGTGTGTGTGTGTTTTTCCCCTTGGTACTGGGGATTAAACCCAGGGGCGCTTAATCACTGAGCCACATTTCCAGCCCTTTTTAATTTTTATTTTGAGACAGAGTCTCACACTAAATTGCTTAGGACTTTGCTAAATTGCTGGCTTTGAAATTGCACTCTTCCTGCCTCAGCCTCCTGAGCCACTGGAATTACATGTTAACCTTGTGTTCTACAACATTGATATAATCACTTATTAGTCCCAAGAAACTTTTTCATTGATTCTTTCATCTAATGTAGTTTTAAAAATTTTAAATAGTTGTAGTTGGACATAATACCTTTTTTCCAATTTATTTTTATGTGGTGCTGAGGATCGAACCCAGTGCCTCACACTTACTAGGCACATGCTGTACCACTGAGCTACAACACCAGCCTTAATGTAGTTTTAATTAGCATTATCCTGACTAATAAAGAGATTTAGTACCTTTTCATAGATGTACTGGTTATTTGAATATCCTCCTTTGTGAAATATCAATTCGAGTCTCTTGCCTATTCTACTGGATTATCTTTATTTTTATTATTGCTTTGTTGGGATTCTTCATTTATTGTGGATCTAAATCCTAGTTATAAGTTATAAAAACCTTTGCCTTTATATAGCTTTCTTTTTCATGCATTTATTTTCTTTTTCACTTTCTTAATTGTGTCTTTGATGAATAGAAATTTTCAAACGGTAATATAATTCAATTTACCTATTATTTTGTGCTCAGGGCTTTTTATACACCGTTGAAGAATTATTTCTCTGTTCATGAAGAAATATATCTTTGTTTTATTTTAACTTTTTTTTTTTTTTTTTTGGCTGTTCTGGGGATTGCATTCAGGGCCTCACACATGCTAGGCAAGTGCTTTACCATCGAGCCACATTCCCCAGGCCCTGATTTATTTTAAAATTACTTCATATTTTTTCCTTTTACATTTAGAATTATATGTCATTTTTATGCATGGTGTAAGGTAGCGAATATTCTAAATATAGATAATCAATTCTCTCAGTACCATAGACAGAAGAGATAACCCATTTTATATTGTGCTGCAGTGCTGCCTAGGCTATAAATCAAACATCGAGATATGTGAGGGTTGCTTTCTGTGCTTCCTACTCTATTCCATGGCTCTATCTATACTTATGCCAATTATCATACTGTAGCTTTCTATTATCTTGATATATAACTAAGCAAGTCTATCCTTCTTCATCTTCAAGAGTATCCTAGCTAATATATGAAAACTTTTTATACTCTTAAGTAAACTTTATAATCAACCTGCCAAGTCAAATTAAAGGAAAAAATAGTGAGATTGTCATTAGGATTACAATGAATTTAAAGAAATATTTGAGGAGTATCTTAGTCAATTTTTTTGTTACAATCACAAAATATCTGAGGCTAGGTGCTTTCTTTTAAAAAATACAACTTATTTGCCTAACTATTTTAGTTGTTAAAAAGTCCAAACAGCTTCACATCTGGTGAGAGTGGCAAGGAAGCAAAAAGCAAAAAGGGAAATCACTCAATATAGAGGAGAGACTCATGGGAAGCATGGGGTTTCCTTATAAAAACTCATTCTTACAACGAATCTAGGCCCATTAGACCAGATCCACTCCCAGGAGATAGCTTAGAGTTCCCATGACCTAGATACCTCCCATTAGGCCCCACCTCTTACTGTGCCACCACCTCAATACCACATATAGGGGACCAAGCTTATAGCACACGAACCTTTGGGGAACAAACCATATCACAAGGAGTGTGGTAAGTAATAGAAAAACAGCCATAAATTCCTTCTATTTTTGTATGCATACTCAACTTTGTATTATGACTATTTTCCTACTTCCTTGAGTAGGAATTTGACTTGTAGCTTAACTTGGCTAATACAGTACAGCAGATAAGATGTTAGGTGAGCTCTCAGCCTAAACTTCAAGAGATCATATGGTTTCTGTTCTTGCCTTCTTGGAATCCTGAGTTCATCCTGAGAAGAGTCATGACCTACAAAATACATGAAAAAAATGTTCAGTATCTTTAGCAACTAGGAAAACACAAATCAAAACTATACTGGAATTTCTTCTCCAGTTAGAATGGTAGTCATCAAGAATACAAATAAAAATAAATGACTGAGAGACTGTCGGAGAAAAGGAACACTTATACATTGTTGGTAGGATTGTAAATTAGTATAATCACTATGGAAATCAGTATGGAGGTTGCCTCCAAAACTAGAAATAGAAACACTATATATTCTAGCTATGCTCCTTCATATTTACCCCAAAGAATTAAAGTCAGCTTACTATAGTAATACATGCAAAACCAAGTTTATAATGGCTCAATGCACAATAGTCAACCTCTGAAACCAGCTTAGGTGTCTGTAAACAGATAAAGGATAAATAAAATGTGGCATATACATAATACATTTTTATTCAGCCTTAAAGAATAATAATTATGTCATTTGCAGAAAAATGAATGGAACTTGAGAGCATTATGACACAGATAATCAAGAGTCATCATATTTTCTCTCATAAGTGAAAGTTAAGAGAGAAGAAAGAAAAAAGAAAGGTGGGAGAGGATCTCTTGAAAACTGGAAGCGAGAAGACTAAAGTAGAGGAAGAGGTTCAGCAGGAGGGAAGAGGGGGAGGAAAAGGGGGGGGTACTGGGGAATTTATTTATTTTTATTTATTTATTTGGTACCAGGGATTGAATTCAGGGGCACTCAACTTCTTTCATGTGCTGTTTTCTAATTTGCCTTCTGGGGAATTTATTTTTCCCCTCTATTTTAGGGAAGCCATTTCTCAAGAAAAACCCAATATCTGTGGCAATGTGTGGAAGGGGATTTTCATTTCACCACCTGAGGTATGCTTCTATTAGTCAACTAAGGAAACCTCAGGATCTTCTTCATACCAGCTAGACAGAAACTCAATATATCTCATCATCTTTATCTGAGAGTTCGTGTCCTTCACTGAGGCTATAGTCTTCTGAGTTGAAAAATCCAACTTCAAATTCTCAACTAAATTGATCTGAAACTGAATCTTAACCCTATCCATCACCAGCATCACTTACACCAGTATCAAGATCAGATTTAAAAGAGTTTCTTGCCAATGTACAGCTTGTGTTCCCTTCACATTGTAGCTCAATAAGTACACAGAACCAGGCTTTCCTCAGAAGAAAAAGAAATAATGTCAGATTTATAGAATTTTTCCTGTCATTCACCAGATAATTCATCTGACTTTTCTTAGTTCTGTAGGTTCAAAGACCTGGTGCTGGCTTCAGGTCAGCTCTGATGAGGACCTCATGGCAGAGAGTATCACAATGGAGGGAGTAGGTGTGAGAGGCCATTGTTTTAATTTGTAACCAAAGATTCACTTTACCTGTTATGGAATTTCATAAGAATGGAATAATAAAATACTCATCTCTTTCTCAAAACTTCTATGACTTATGCTCTTACGATGGATCTGTTAGGTAAGAGAGGGCATGGGAAGGGCTAGGGCCCCTCATCCTCACCCAGCATCTTCCTGTGAGGGGAAACTTGGGCCTCTTGTGGTTAAAGGGAGTAAGATAGATGACAACAAGGGGAGTTTAAGACCCTAAAGGAAAAGTCCCAGATCTTGGGCATGTGCAGAGCCAGAGGGACTGACTCAAAGTAAACTTGTCGCTACTTAAGGTTATCAGCATTGCAGTTTGCTCTCCCTCTGTGCATTTTCTAGGGGAAAAGGAAATGCCTGGGCAGTAGAGAAGAAATTATGTCAAATTCAGCTGTCAATAAAGGTGCCAATCAAACCTAGATCTTCACAGGAGAAAGGGGCGAACTAGCAGAGCCCAACAAAAGTCAGTTTCACTGTGTAGACAGGGCCTTGATCTTCTTCTCAGCTAGGCACATTCTGTTCTCCAAGAGTGTTTTCTTTTGCTTTCAACAAACCTCTGGCTTTTCAGCCAAACTCTTGCTCAGTTCTTTGCTCAGCATGCCAAGAACCTGGACCTAGAACTCCCTGGGGACCCTTGCCCTTAGGCCAGTTACATATCCACGTTAATATACACATTAATTAGTATTTTATTCCTTATAATTGTAGGGGGTAGTCTGTTGTGTCACAATTATTACAGTTTGTTTAGTAATCCTTCTGTTGATGGGAAGTAGACTTTTTTCCAGTTTTGAGTTATTATGAATAAAACTAGTGTGAAGATTTCTTATTTTCTTAACGTATACTTTAATATTTCTGTAGCTTTTGTATTATACATGCCACCTTTTCCCTGGTGAGCTTTTGTATTATAAATGTTTTTCCATCATTTTATCTCCAATAGTTTGGTGTCCTTATATATTAGGATTGTTACGATATATTGTTGGGTTTTGCATTATTTTATCCATTCTGACAGCGCAATTTTATGTCTTTTAATTTGAAGACCTATCAAATGTTTCATATTTATGATATATTTAGAATTAAATCTACCAAGTTTCTATGTATTTTCTATTCGTCCCACCTTGTCATGTTTTCTTTTAGATCAAGTTTTTTTCTTAATTGTTGATAGATCTTTATTTTATTTATTTATATGTGGTGCTGAGTTCTAAACCAGTGCTTTACACGTGCCAGGCAAGTGTGCTACTGCTGAGCCATAGCCACAATATATATAGTCATATATATTGTTATCTTTAGTGGTTAACACAGATATTATAATACATATCCCTGACTTATTAGAGTTGGATTATTATTTCTTTTACCTTCTCCCAAGCAATGAAGAGCCTTAGAGAACTGTGTTTATTTTCCTCTCCACTTTTATATCTCTTTTGTATCAATTTTATCATCTGTGTTCAGTTTATCCACAGATCTTCCACTCTTATTGCTTTCCATCTTTTTTATATCTCTGAACTCCCCAGTTGTTTCCCTCCTGCTAAAGAATATTCTTCAGTGCTTTAATGTGCATATACTATGATTGATTCTCTTGGTTTTTGTTTGTCAAAACCTCATATGACATTTAACTGTCCTTTGTTTTGATTAACAATTGGTTAGCTTTTATTTTATTTCTGAAGTATGAGTATATCACTCTGTTTCCTGGTCCTCTTCCCATTTCTACTTTACTTGCATTATTCAGGAAGACAATTTGCCTCTAAAGGCAAATCCTCTCTTATTTCTTCCATAATGTTTCAATAACTTTACTATGAAGTATGTAGATGTACATTCATTTTTACTAATTTTATTTACTCTACCTAAAGCTTATGATACTTTCTGAATTCGTGAACTAGTGGCTTTTATTAGTTTTTTTTTTTTTTAAGTTGAGGATGAACCTTTATTTATTTATTTTTATGTGGTGCTGAGAATCGAACCCAGTGCCTCTCGCATGATAGACAAGTGCTCTACTACTGAGCCATAACCCCAGCCCCATTTATTAGGTATTAAAAACAGTTGGTATATTGCTAAAACCCTATGCTTTCATTTTCTTCTGAGATGTATTACTCTTACTATCTCACCTCTGTTTTTTTTAACTCCTATTTTTCATCTCTTAATGATTCATTATGGATATTTCCTTCTAAAATATTTTTCAGTTCACTGATTTTCTCTTTTATCAGACTATTGTTATATCCTTGGAGTAAGTTTGTCTCATTTTTTGTTGTTTTAGGATTTCCATTTAGTTCTTATCAATAATTTCTAATTCTCTGTTGAAATTCTAATTCTTGTTTTTATATACTCCAATATGCTGAGCATAGTTTAATTTTTGCTTATCTTTTTCAGTGCTAGTTGTTTTAAAGTCTATCTATCTGGTAAATCTTGTGAACTGTTTTTTTTTTTCCTTAGTTCTGATTTTCACTGTCTTGTCTCCTCATGCACCAAGTAATATTTTATAGTGGGTCAAATGTACATTTGGAATGAAGATAACTTGAGGACTAAATTATCTTCATCTTTCCTCATATTTATCTTTGCTTCTGCAGGCATTTGGGGGCTCCATCAATCTAGAATTACCTTCATCCAATTTCAGGGTTTGCAACGATTGGAAGCTGAACTATATAGTCCCTAGCAAATATCTGTTTGCCTATGCTTCACCCATATTTCTAGGATGAAGTTCTTTGGAACCCAATGCAAAGTAAGAGGGACTCAGCCCTTTGCCCTAATTACCATTTCAGCTTCTCAGCTTCTTAATCTTCTCTTCTGGAGCCAGTACATACTTGCATTGCTGAAAACTGGCTTCAAAAGTTGGGGTGACAATCCTCAGCCTAAGTCTTCCCCCAGAATCTGTCATGTTCATACTTTGTCAATGTATTTACTCTCAAATGCTTTCAAAGAAATGTTTCACAATTCTAGTTGTCCTCAGGGGGTGTGATTTGTCCAAATTACCTACTTCACCATTACCTGATGCAGAACTCATTATCCTATATTTTAGTGAACATTCTAACTCCACCCTAAGTACGATGTGATAAAATATTTTAAATCTGATGTCAAAAAATCATGCCCTTTAACAATGGTTAATCAGTCTACAATTTTAGAGAAGAAAGAAAGGGCAAATTTTTCTCTATATTATGTGTATCATTAAAAATTCTAGCTACATAATTATGTATAATATCATTTTTGAAAGTAAATCACTTATATAACAAAAAAATGTTGAAAGGTTTTTAAATCTTAAAGGGATCAAGAAATTGTTTATTTCTGTTAAAGGGATTTTGCGAGTGAATTCCTCTGGCAAAAATGGGTGGAAGATATTAATTTGGGCCCTTGAATGTCATCTTAAACGGATTAAGTTCTTGGCAAAGTAGTTAACTTTGTCTTGTTTTAGTAAATAAAGTATCCTTTTTTACTACTGAAACTAAAAGAAAGAAAATAAATCATCTCTATTAACTTCTTAGAAGTTTAAGTTTTAGTTTTTTTTTTTTTTTAAATTGGTTTACTTAGGTGTTAAGGGTAGTTGATGTTCTCTAACTAGTACTCTTTTTCTAGAGTATCTTTGTATTTGAGTAAATTATACACATCAACAAATTTTTTAAACAAATTTTAGCCTGCTGTGTTGGCATACACCTGTAATCCTAACTACTTAAGAGGTTGAGGCAGGAGGATCACATGTTTGAGGTTAGCCTTGGCAACTTAGCGAGATCCTGTCTCAAAATAAAAAGGGCTGGGATGTAAGTCAGTGATGGAGTACCCCTATACTAGAAAAAAAACAAAATAAAACCCCCCAAAACAAAACTTTAAAATGTTAATGTTCAGAATTTTCTCTTGGTACTTAAGTTTCTAGTGAAATTAAAATATATAAAGAAAAAAGCTAGAAGATAAAGAAAAACAGTTGGAGAAATCACCACATTCTTATTAGCAAAAAAATTAAATGTCTAAATGAACACATCTAAATAAATCAGAACAACTCTGATTTAAAGGAAATAAGAAAGTACTTTATGCATTTATTTAGTACTGGGAATTGAGCTTTACTATTGAACTACATCCCCATTCTTTTTATTTTTTTATTTTGAGACAGGGTCTTGGCTGCTTTCCCTAGTTTGGTCTCGAACTTGTGATCCTCTGGTGTCAGCCTCCTGAGTCATTGAGATTGATGGAGTGGGCTACCACACCAGCAAAAATACTTTATGCTGAGCCTAATTAGAGTGACCATGGCCCAATAATACAAATGCAAGTTTCTCTGAATGCTATATTCTACCAGGGAAGAGGTTACATTAAATTTTATAGTCATATAACAACAACAAAAAAAAGAAAGCCATAAATCAATGCACTTACCAATCACATTGGTAGGAGCCTCAGGGACAAGCTACAGCAAGGCAAGCAATCTCTTCCATGGGTTTCAAGTGTTACTGGAATTTTAGCTTTAGAGTTTGGTGGAGACTAGAGGTCTGTCAAGCTTAGCTATACATTCTAAGAGTTTAATCTAATGGTCACATGATGCTAGATCAGATACAAAGGTTGATAGTAAATGGTATTAGAAGGGACCAAAGACAGTCCAAGATAACTTTGGCTCTTGATCTGCAACATCCCATCTCTCACAATCACAATGTTCTGGTCAGCCAAGGTCACACAGTCTGCAGGCTTTTCAACATAGATGTGGCTTCTTCAGAGAACTTCAGTTCACAAACAAAAAGAAATGTTTATAAACATAGAATTTATGTGAATAACAAATTTCTTTAGTTTTCCAAACACTTTGGGATTTTAAGAATTATAAAATCTGTTATAAATTTGAAACTTGATATTACCAAGGAACAGACCACAATTTTTTTCTTACCCAAGTGGTCTGGTGCTTTGGGAAAAGCAGACTGTTAGGCTACTTTTTTTTATTTAGCTCTCAGAATCTTTTTTTTTTTCTGAAGAGGTCAGCTAATTCTCAGCCTTCAAAATTCTGATACTTTGTTCATGATTTTGACTTATTTAAAATCTGATTCATTTCTGATAAAGTTTTGATGTTTTCTTTCTTTATGCATACCGACGAGTAACATTGATCATTTAGTCCAAATACCAAAATCAATTAATTAATAAAAGAAAGTAGTAAAAGACGAACCCCAGAAAGTTTAGATACCATTTAAGTTCTCTTTATCTGTACTAATTTCCAAACTAAATGTAAATAATTTGTCTTTACCTTAGAAACTGAATATTTTCTATCAGATAACATTTCTCTAAATGAAGAAGACAAATAACTAGAGGCTTGATTGTCACATTTTTCTTTTTAATAATAATTCTCTTCATATACCATAAAATGTGACATATTATTTGCCTCTGCCTGCATGCATTCTGATAATAATTCTTGTTTATGAACTATGGTGCATATGGTAGAAGGTATAAAGCGAATCATAGATAACTATATTATTTTAGATCTCTCTATGCTATTGCTTTCATTTGTTTCTGTGTATTTAATTTTGTTAATACTAAACAGGAAGCATCTCCTATTCCTTAAATGGATTTCGATGTATGAAAGACATCGGTGAACTGGCTGCTTGTCACCTGCTTGATACTCAGAGCTGAGGTCACTAAAGCTCCCAAAGCAATCGTCAGCAACTGGATGGTCTGAGGATCCAGAGACCAGTGACTCTGGTGGACTTTCATTCTTATCCTGAAATAAGACCAGGGTATCATCCAGACCTTGTCATTTCATGTGCAGCAGCCAATTCTGAATTTCCTCTTTACTTGGGCATGGCTGGGAAGAAGGAAGAAGCCAGATTGATTTGTGGCACTAAATTTTTTTTCAAACTTCTCTTCCGTCCTCCCTGTGAAATAAAGGGCATGTTATTTAATAACTAGATTACAAAACAAACGATTTTCCAGAGTCAAGTTCAAGTTTCATCACTACAGAAAGTTTTTAATCCTCCTGGTGTGTGTGTGTGTCTGTGTGTGTGTGTGTGTGTGTGTGTAGTCATTTACTTCACATTCCAATGTGTCTCCAGACAAAAGAATGCTACAAGTAGGAAGTAGAACAAGGGTATAGTAGAAGAATAGAAGTGAGAAGTTTTAAACCTACTTTAACTGGACAGTTATCCACTCTAGGGCTCAACTGAGAAACATGGGAAGGGTTAGTTAAAACAAACTTAGCTAATTAATAATTAATCTTAGTAACATCAGATTCTGCTGACCAGTAGGAAAATAAAATCAAGTGATGATCACACAAATGAGAAAAATGAGTTGGTTTTGAATTGCATATTTTTGGAAGAAAAAAAGATGAAACTTTAAATTCATGTAGTTTAATTTAGTTTGTATTAAGAAATATCTAATTTTACCAGTAATGTCCAACCAGCATTTAAAATTGACACCATATAGAAATTTTGAAAGGCTTGGTTATATGATTTTGCAACACACATCAATTTGATGTTATGATCTATTTTAAAGAAGACAGAAGGAAAAAAAAAGAGGTGAATTATAAGGTAAAACAAAAACAATAAACTACTAAAGTCCAGATTCAATCACTCAAAGATTCTTTAGGCTTAGACACTAGTAGGTCTTATGTCTGCTCTTCTTGCTCCCCAGAGACAAGGTTAGGAGGCTTAGTACCCAAGATCACTCTACTGTGATCTTGTAAAGGAACTTCCCAAGCTGCACGGGTCCTTCTTATATTTTCCTTTTTGTATTTCTTTTATCTTTTTAAAATAAAGTTTACTAACTAAAACATACGCCTGCTACAACTTCCTTCTTTCTTTAATTATTTTTGGTAGTTGTAGATGGACAGCATGCCTTTATTTTATTTGTTTATTTCTATATGGTGCTGAGGATCGAACCCAGTGCCTCAGACATGCAAGGTAAGCGCTCTGCTACTGAGCTACAGCCCCTGCCCTTATTTCTTTAGACTTAATTTTTGGAAGTAGATTTGCTAAAGAAAAAAAACAACATTTGGTTTAAAAAGTGTTTTGATATACAAATTTCCCTTCAGTAAAGGACACAGTTCTTAAATTAGATATAATACATCACTTTAGAACCTTGATTCAGGTTTATGAAGTCCTGGCATCTCTGTTTCCTTATGTCTCCAACTCGCACCTCCCTTCTCACTGGAAATTGAATCCCGAAGCTCTTTGCCACTGAGCTACATCCCCAGACCTTTTAATTTTGAGACAGGTTCTTGCTAAGTTACCGAGAGTTTTGCTAAGTGGTTGAGGCTGGCCTCCAACTGATCCTCCTGCCTCTGTATCTGGAGTCACTGGGATTACAGGTGTGGGCCACCACTTCCAGCTCAAGGCAACTTTTGATTTTCATGGGGAATGAGGAAAATAGGAAAATAATGAGGCAAGCCCTCCCTGACCTGCCACTCAGTTAGTACATACTGTCCAGCAGAGTTAGCCTTAAGAGACCTGGAGGGATGCAGTGTGCCCACGGTGCCCCAAACTCCTCTTTCAGACATTCCTAGTGCCTGACCACTCTGACTTTCCCAAATGAATTCTTGCTCCTATTCCCAGTAGCTCTTTAAGGCGTTTGTTAATAATAGATAAGAGGATTAGAATGTTGCCTCCAAAGAATATATTTTTATAGTTTAGACTTTTGAAGATCCTAATGTGTACATTTCTAGTGATGGGAATTTGTGAATTCCTCTTGTTAGGAATTTGGGGTTAATAAAAACTCATTATTATATTCAGCAACTTTTTTCGGTGTCTCTTATGTGTCAAGTCTATTCTAGATGTTTTACAGGACAGAACAAGTAAGACCAAGTTTCTGCCTTCATGGAATTTTCATTCCAGTGAGAAAAAAAATGAATGATTTTTTAAGGAAAAAAAGAAGAAGATGCCATGGAAAATGTCTTAAAAAAATTCATCAGAGCAACAGAGAAAAATCAAGCTGGGAGAAGGGAAAGAAAGTGATGGGAAGGGATTCTTAATGTACATTATTTGTACACTCTAAGAAGAGTATTCTGGTCAGGAGAGACTAGCAGCTCATCTATCTCTGAATTGTATTGTATTATATTTAAATATCCAGGCTCTAAAATCAAACTTCTGGGTTTAAACCCCAGCTCAATTATTGGGTTCTTTGGGGATTTTAGATAAATTACTTATGTTCTGTGCTTCAGTTCTCTTAATTGTAAAATGAATCTGATAATTGTAACTACTTCAAAGAGTTGTTGCAAAGATTATGTGAAAGACTACATGTCAAGTGCACAGTATTGTACCTGGCATACTAATTTGAAAATAAATATTAGCCATTATAGTTGAAAATATTACTGAGTTATAATTTTTCACCTAAAATAAAATCATGAGAAATTCTCTGTCATTATATATTCTTTGGAAAAACTATGAATATGCTATAATATATATATACCATCTTTCACTTAAATAATTTTTCTATGATTGGATATGTGCCTACAATTTTGGAAATGGGTTGCATTTCACAAAGTTCACATTCTTCCTCTCTGTTTCCACATTTAAACTTTTTGAAAAGGAATATAACATGTGTTCTAATTTGTTTTCCTATATTATGATTAGTATTTTATAATTTTGTAGTTTCATTTGCAGGAGATTTATAAACCATTTACAGAAGTTAGTACTTGGAGCCAGCATTTCTATATTTTAAAATAGGAAGTCAAAAGAGATGAGGATGTCTGTTATTGGACTTTTTTCATAGTACTTTCTCTGCTCTGTGCTGTGAGCTTCCTGATCTGTGAATAGATTTCTGGTGGCTGTAACACTGCCAAGCACATGATAGAATTTTTAGGGTATTCCATAAATGTTTATTTCACTAAATTGAAATCTTGAATCCAAACTTTCTGAGGGCACTTTATGCCCACCTTCCTAGAAATGCTTCTTATGAGACTAGGCATTGGGTGTTTATTTATTGATTTGATTTCATCCACCATTTTCATACTTAGGCTGTTTGGCTTCCTCAAGTTGCAGAAAATCAACACACTGGTGGCTTTAATCTGTTTTGGTTTTCAGATTTTGTTGTCCTCTTCTAAGTACACAATTTTCTGAAAACAAGCTTAATTTTACTTTGGAAACTAATTTCAACCCATTAACCATGCTGAATTCTTTTCTTCATTTAAGCCAGAACAGTTTTGTTCTGCTTTGTTTTCAGTTCTATGGATTGAACCCATGACCTTGCACATACTAGGCAAGAGCTCTACCACTAAGCTACATCCAATCTTTTTATTTTTATTTTGAGATATGGTCTCACTAAACTGCCCAGGCTGGCCTGAAACTTGCAATCCTCCTGTCTCAGCTTCCTGATTAACTGGGTTACAGGTGTGGGTCACCATGCCCAGCACAAATAATGGTTTTTTTTTTTGTCTTTTAGTTTTAGATTATTTATATGATGATGTTTCACCCATTACTTAAGACAATTCCAAGTAATAGTACTATTTTTATAGAAAACTCTTCTATTGCCGAAAGCTCTCAATGGAAAAACTGGCAGAATTAATAATTACTAGGAAGCACTCCTAATATCCTTAAGTACACACAAGCTAACAAAATTATGGTAAAATTTTCCATGTTAATTAATTTTACTTAATTTTAAACATGTTTAATGCGTTTAAAAACTGTTGTGTTGTTGTCATTCTGTTTGTTATCTGTTATTGAATTAGGTGTGGATAATAAAAATTATTTTCTTTCTGTTTTTAATCTGACTTCATGGCAAGGGCTGTATAAAAACCACCATGTGCTGTTAGATCTTCCTCTTAGTGTTTGATATATTTGAATCACTAAATATAAATCATAACAGATTAAGTCAGACCCATGCAAGCTTCTAGAACTAGTGGATAAGGAATAAGGTTTGATTTGTACAGACCATTAATCTACTAAAAATGAGCGTGACATGTAGAGTGAAAAAAACCTCAGCTTATCACTTAATTAGCATGTGATAGTTGGCAAGTCACTTGATCTTGCTTTAGGATCCTGTTGTCTTCCCCAGCTCTAGGATGGAACTAATATTTTCTTTGAACTTATTGTGAAAATTAAAAGAATCATATATAAAGATACATTGTAAACTGTGAAGCATTTTATGTTTTTCCTGTTAATACATGGGAAAATTTCTTGCTGGAGAGCCAGAAGCTGACTGTAGCCATGGCTCCATCTTACAGGTGCAATAAGATTAAGAAGCAAAGTATGTAGCATGCACAAGGCTCTGGGTGCCTTTCCCAGCACTGCAGAAAATAAAAATGAATAAAATGAAGCAATGATGGATGTGCAGTGTTTGACTATTGTATCAAGTTGCCTAGCTTCTAAAACAGCTCAGTGAATAATTTCAGTTTTGAAGCACTAGCAGAGCTTCATTCACTCAAGCTCCCAGGTTCTATTTGATTTTTTGTCCTCTCTATCCAAAAAAATCATGATTTCCATTGCACTGATCTAAGACACATAGATCTGCAATATTCAGTAAAAAAGTATGAACAGAAATAATTTTAGGCCCAGAAGATATGTTTCTAGGAACAGAAAAATAATAATTAAAAACCAAACAAAGGGGATAAACTGTAGAAGTAGAATCAGCTGTGGAGTTAGTACTAACTTACTTTTTCATGTTGAACGTGAATTCCCTTCTTCTTTCCGTCTGAGGATTCCTTTTGTGCTTCTGAACCAATGAGTGGAAGGAATCTTAAACTAGTGGGGCTTGTTACCTGTAAGTCATAAACAAAGAGTCAGACGTACTTAATGTGATAAATTCCCTAATGTGAATTCTCGAGTGGGAAGTGAGGGGGAGAACCACACTTCAACAAGACCCCTCTCCCAATTGCCCACTGTTAATTCTTAACGGTTTACTATTAGCATCATCTATTGCTTAAATCTTTGACACCTATTAAAACGAACATATCCTTGGAAAAGATAAATAGCATTTAAGATTCAAGTTGATATTAAGTTGAAATATTTGTTCTTTGGTTTATTATTTCTTAGGTTCATTAATTAGTTCTTTAACACAGGTAACCTGAGGTGGACACTTGAAAGTAGAGATTTGAAAGAAAAGGGTTGGGTAAATCTTAGAGGACAGCACAGGCACAGTGTGATAGAGGTGATAGATCAGTGATGCTTAATGCATAGAAAGTTATTTGGCAGGCTCTAGCCTGCAGAGTATGATGAGAATGTTATCAAAATGAGGGCAAATAATTCTGGCAGAGACTGGATCATAAGTCTAGATGCCAAGATTTTATCCTGTGGATGATGAAGAGCCACTAAGGTAAAATTCAAAATAGCTACCATGTGGAATGGTAGAGATAAGTGATTCAAGCTGTTGACACCCAAAACTCAAGGTTTCTGGGACTGGACATCAGCTGTTGATGGAAACATAAGTGGGTTTAGGGATGTGATTTCCCCCAACCTTGCTTGATAGTGCAGGGTGAGGAACAAGAAGTCAGCTTTTTATTGTTTTGTTACTTCTCCAGCTCTACAAAATGCCCCAACTCACCCTGTATATAGGAAGAGAACCAAAAACAATTCCGGCCTCTCTGTTCTCAGTCATGAAACCTTCTAAGGCATGTTTGTGAATCTGTAAAACAAAGGAATGAATGTTTTGTGAAAAGGGTGCATTCCATCAGTAGCAAAACACCTGGTTCAGACCCTGACTCCTTCACTCTTACTAGCTGCATGATTTTAGCAAGTTCTTTCCTTGCCCACTGATTGCAAGAATCAAAGGAGATCATATAGATAGCCAGGTGTTAGCAAATATAAGATTTAGTACCATTATATTCTTATTACTAGTAACAACAAGACAAAAGGGAATTGACTGAAAATAAGTGAATAGATTAATATTACATAACTAAGAATGAAAAGAAATGGGCAAAACAAGATTGCTGATGACAATCAGAGAATCCTAAGTGAAATGCATTTCAACTCAAATTTAGCATTGATTCTTTTTTATTTTACTACCTAATCAAGTAAGAAGTTGGCAAGGCTCATAATATTGGTGAGAATGTGGTCAAAATTTTCATGTTGAACGTGAGTATTTCAAGGGCTCTATTATTATTTCAAGGGCTCTATTAAGCCCTTTTAAAAATTTCCCCAAATTTATTCAATGTCTCAGTTGTTAACTGTTTTTTTTAAAATATGTATTTCTATATTGGATGAATATTGCCTCTATTTCTAGGTTGCACTATTTCAATCCTATTCCACAAAACTGAGTATCTGTTACATGCTATGCCCATAAAGAGCTTATGAGTTAGTAGTAGAAGTGGGAAGTAAAGACAAGGATATAAATAATTGTAATTCAATGTAGAACATGCTAACTAACCCTACCTATCACTCTGTCTTCATAGAAAAAAAAATCTGAGTCCTATTTGAACAGAAAGGTAGGGTTTTAGAAAAAAAAAAGAAAGGTGTTAAATATTTATTAAGTATGAAGTAGATAGTGTAAAAGAATATTGATATAATAAACCCACTGGCCTGCTCTACAAATTGGAATTATACCCTCAACTTTGAAATCTTCAGACTGCAGTTCCCTGGCCTCTTTCCTGATCTACATTTCAGACATTAATGATTATCTTGAATTTCATGTGTTTGATTTACTTGTTTTTATTTTTATATAATTTTACCTTATATGCTTTATTTCGGAGTGGGGGAATATACTGGATATTGAATCCAGAGGTGCTTAACCACTGAGCCACATCCCCAGCCCTTTTTATTTTTTTATTTTGAGACAGGGTCTTACAAAGTCACTTAGGGCCTCACTAAGTTGCTGAGGCTGGCCTCAAACTTGTGATTCCCCTGCTTCACCTGAGTTGTTGAGATCCCAGATGTGTACCACCATGTTTGGCACCTTATTGCTTTTTCCAAACCAATATTTTTTAGTTTTGCTCTTTCTTTTCTTTTTACATAAACTGAATCAATATGTAAATACTCATATAAAACTTCTCTCATTCAGTAGTGTTTCACTCATCCATGAAGGTAAGTGTTAAGCTAGTACATTTACTTTCACTGTTGTATACTAAAATGATTTACGAATATGCTATAACTTATTTGCCCATTGCTCTGTTGACAACTATTTAAATTTCTTTCAGATACAAAGAATATTCCTCTGAGCTGTACTTATTCCTGTCCCCAAGCACATATTCAAAAATTTCCCCAGGGAATATATTTAATAGGGCATGACTATTTTCAACTTTAACCACATTTAAAAATGCCATGTTGTTCTTCCATGTAGTTCTATCAAATAACACCATCACCATCGGCAGATTAGTGTTCTGATTATAGTGAGTATCATGAGACTTTTTATTTTTGTCAACCTGGTAGGTCTAAGTGGTATCCCATAATATTATTGATGTGCACTCCCATGATTACTAATAAGAGTGAGCATATTTTCATGTTTATTGGATTTTTTTTATTTTGTAAAGAATTTATTCAAGTTTTCAACCATTTTTAATTGGACTGTTTTTTCTCATTCATTTTTAGATCTTTATAAATTCTGGAAAGTAATTTTTTTCAGTTAAAGTTTTCTGTTTTTTTTTTTGCTTTGTTGTGTGTGTGTGTTTTGTTTGTTTGTTTGTTTTGTTTTGTTTTGTTTTGTTTTTAGCTACCTTTGGAGAAGAAAGAGCCTTGAAAAACTTAAAATCCTGTTCCACTTCAAAGGGCTTGGGAGGTGTGCGTTTGAAAAGTAATGACATTGAGCTCATCTTTCTCCATCTGCATACAAAGATACAAAAAAAGAAAGTTAATCATACCTGTCCCTTATATGTCCTGTCAACTAAACAAATACCAGTTATGTCTTTCCTCTTCAGTCCCCAAATTTCTAGGTTTTCATGGCACCAGTACTAATGACACTATGTCTGCACCTGATTCTTATTCCATTTAGCTTTTTAGATTTCCCTCTAGGGAAACCACATTGACTTCTTTTCTGCCTGAACATTCCATGTAATTAAGTTTATAAATAATCATGAGGAGTGGGGGGGGGGACCTGTATAGCAGGGCTGGAAAACCTCTTGTGTAAATCCTGTGCTTGAGTTCTATGTGACCTGAAGGTTCCCCTAGAGTTAGAACTAACTTATGGAGACATTTAGAAATTCACAGCTAGGCATTAAAAACATTTTTTAAAAGACAATAAATAATACATCCTGAGATGGAGTTATTCTACAGATAAGGCCAATTTTGCTACAGGCAAGCAAAATTATTTCATAGTAAACACAGTGTACACACAGATCCCATATTTAGCTTACCTAAATACACTGTACCTTTTCATACTTCTTTATCTACCATTTACATTTATGCCCACTCTTTGTAATGGTTTCCATTCTTTGTTTCACAAATATCTTTTGAGCTCCTGCTGGGAGCTGGCTCAGAGATAAGAACTAGGGATTTATAAAACAAGGATTCTATGCTCCAAGACCTCACGGTATAATGATGAAGACCCATATTCACATATTAGAAAACATAGTTTAATATGTCTTAAGTTATGACATTATACCCCATAAATTTGTACAACTGAAATTTTGAAAGTACTCTATATTATCTTCTCATATCTCCTTTTTATTTATCAACCATTGCTATGTGATTTTTACCAATCACTTTACTGAAGTTACCCTCTAGAGTCATAAGTGATCTTTTTATGCCACACCCAGCATTTACTTTATTCCATAAATGCGTCCTTCTCTACTTCTTCACAGAACACTTATCTCCTTCCTTGATTTCTACTATACTATTTACTTATATTTTTGCTTTCAACATCATAGCTGATCCTTCTCAAGGTTTTCACTAGTGTCTCTCTCTTGGTCTACTCTTTAGAGACTGTTTCTTGTTTATCGCATAGTTTTCTGCTTTTTCTCAATCAATTCACAAGACCTTCATGACTTATCTACACTGAAAATACTGCTATGCTAAGGACTTCAAAATCTGTGTTTACCACTTTGACCTCTTTGAGAAGGAACGTCCAGGTGCTTGTGGTACATCCAGATGGAGGTGGATGCTTTATCTGGGTGCTCAATAAATACCTCCATCTGGATGTACCACAAGCACCTGGACGTTCCAAACCAAACCCTTCTCTTTTTTTTACACTTGCTTTTTCTCTTCTATATTCTGTTACAGTGAATACTGTTAAAGCTTAAAAATTTTAAACTGACCCATAAAGAAGTCCATTTTCCCTATAGACTTTTCAAGCTTTATCTTCTATCATGTCTTCCCACATACCCGCTAAAAGCTAAGCTTAAAAACT